CTCCTTTTATGTTATTGGCAACAGTCCTTAGGTGGGCCCTCTACACCCAGTGCTACGCTGATTCACGTCAGCTGGGTGTTCCAAGTTGCTCATTAGTTAATCCATCACATTGGGAGACCTGATCCTCTTGGTTATTTCAACAGTACTATCAAAGCAAACATAGCTTCTTATTTTGTTTGAAATGAAGAAATCTTTTGCATTCAAACTGGGAGCTGAGCTGGGCATTCTGAGGGCACTTGATGTGCTAGTTCTGAATACACTAAGAACACATTTGTGTGAACAGTAGAAAGCAAATAAAGAACAAGAAACAAACATCCTGGTGGCAGATACAAAGGAGATTATCACATGAATTTAGAGCAGTGTCTTTGTTACCTAGGGTTTAGTACATGGGTTCAGGTTTGATTACTGTTACTGTTACTGTGCTTCCATCACTGTAGCAAAATAATCAAGACAATCTTAAAAAGAGGAAAGGTTTGTTCTGGTTGACAGGTAGAACTTTTGATCCATGGTTGTTTGGGACTGGGGTGGAGCAGTCATCATGTGGGGTTAGCATCTTGGGAGATGGTCCAGACCCAATCTTAGCGGGGATTGTTTCTCCCCTGCAGCCTCAGATAAGCTCACAGGAGTGTGAGGAATTGAGAACCCTTATGCAGACCTGCCATCTATCTCATTAGATACTATTGTCTCCATGCTGGGCAGCTGTTGTGGCTTGTGCTTGGTGTCCCCTAAAGCCTCATGTGGTCACAGATGGGGCTTCTCAGAGGTGGCTGGATCAAGAGTGTGTGATGCTGGGATCAAGGATGGGTTGTAGGGATTGATTGATGATTCTGGGCAGGGCTGAAGGCTGCTCCCTGGGGTGTGAGTGCTATCAGCCCGGAAGGTGCATAGCCTGGACAGGATATAAGGGACAGAAAGAGGGTTGCTAGTAGCTTGGTGCTGCTTCGCTGCCTTCTGCCTGCCATGAGCTGTCTCTCCTCTGCCAGGCCACCCTGCCTGGGAGCCAGCCAACTGTGCACTGAAACCTCCACAAACTGAGCTAAATAAACTTCCCTCCTTTAACTTTGAGTATTGGGTATTTTGTCTCAGCAACAAGAAAAGTAACTAAGACAGCATCCAAGAGCTTCTGGGATGGACTTTTTGAGAACTGAGCCATTCTTCAGGCTCAGCAGCCTCTTTCTAGGAGCAGGTGAACAATGATGGTCCATCTTCTAGTTGAAAACACAGACTTTGCACTGGATCAGAATTTTAATAGATGCCCTTTGCATTCAGTTAAAAACACCTGACCTATGCTGTAGTTAATTATAGAGCTTATGACATTTTATGGTAAAGAAGGTTGGGTTGACTTTGTCATACATTTTAGGACACTGAGGCATACACAGTTTGGCTGAGTATCTGCAGCTTTTACACTAAGGTGCTGTAGGGAAACATGACGAATTCAAGAACTGGGTTAATCTGGCTGGAGGCAATTACATGTTTCATGTATTTCAGCCAGTTATTGGTTAGAAAATAGTAATTGTTAAAGTCATCACACATGAGGCTGTTACATGCTTTTTCAGTCTCTGAAAGAAAGCCAGAAAGAACTGTTTATCTGGTTTTGAAGAGATTGTTTTTAGTCTCAATCTTCAAAATACTGTTTTGATGTATTATAAATGAACTGCTTTCAAGTTAGATGAGAATTTAATAAGATCCAAAATAATTCATTAGACTCACTTACAAGTCACCACCACTAGCTTTTAGTTCTATCAAAAGAGGAATTCCCCATTGCTTCTCTGAATTACTTATCATGTACTTAGCATCTTAAAAAGCAGAGCTAATTAGATGTGAACCTTCAAAAGTGAGGCTGGAAGGGCTCTCTCCTGCCCCCGCTCTCACCCGTGTAAATGGCTTGCCCTGTGGCCTTACAGGCCACATATGTGGACATGGGGCAGCAAATGGTTGCAAAGATGCAGAATCATCAGCAAGTGGCTAGGCGTCATCATACTCAAGCTGGTCAAGATGCTGGCCACATGTGGCTTGTGTATCACTGAGGGTCCCCTGGGGCTGCTGGCCGGTCTGTTCCTGTCCCTCTCTGCTGTCTTAACCCCCTTCCCCTTGTTTGGAGGGAGCCAGCATTTTGTCTGTTGTAGATTAGAAGAATCTGTGACCCAGTGGTTTTGAAAAGGAAAAAACCAAACATTTTTGTGTTTGTCTTTGCAATGGTCCTGAGGACCGCTTTGTAGGCAATGAGAGGCCAGAGTCCTTTATTTAGGGCCCTTTCTGCTCCTGGCAGATGCCAGATCCTCATAGGTAAAGTTTAGAGCTACTTTTAAATCATCCCAGAAATTTGTCAGTTTTTTTAAATTCAGTTATTTCTGAAAAATGATACCCATTCCTGGCTTGTGATAAAAGGTGGGGTCCTTGTGAAACCAAGATTGAGTCAGGCTGAGGGCCCTGTGTTTTTGGTCGCTGGGCAGCCATGGGAAGGTGGAAGCCTGGTTCGTGTGATGGAGAAATGCTTGTGGTGTGCCATGCAGGTGGATTTGACACAGCCTGGGAGCGAGGTGCCTGGGACCTCGGTTTAAAAATGCAGTTTCAGAGGAATGTGGGTCGCTTCTGTGTTTCAGGCAGCACAGGAAAGGAATGACTTAATCGGTCTGGCTTTTTTGCTTTCATCAGAAAGCCCAGGCGGAGTCTTTAGCATATTCCTCTCTTTCTTATTTCTCGTTACCATCAAAAGCAAGCGTGCTGGGCATCTGACACGAGTTTTTTATTTTTGAAACCAAAGTTTAAGATTGATGTGGCTTGGCCAGGCCTGCACGGGGACAGCACCAGGCCACGAAGAAGCACCAGGTGTCTTTAGGGTCCTGCTTGCTCCTGCTTTCTGATGCTTGCTGTCTGTGTGCTTGGTGACCCGACTGCTTGTGTAACCACCAGCTTCGAAGCCCCTCGTTCGCCCGCAGGCCCATCCACACCTGGCCACATTCTGTTCCCGGGATCAGCCACCTCTCAGGTGAGCTGCTGCTGGCCTAGCCCCACGTGGGTACTGAGATGTCACAGAATGCGTCGCTCCTCTGGGAAACCTGAGAGTTTCACTCTGGAGTGTCGTACATACAGGATATGGATATGAAATAGTGTAGCCCAGTCACAGGAAAGTCAGTGGCCATGCCCACCCTTCCCAGCTGTATGCCTAGTCGGAAGACGCCTTGCGTTCAGACAGCAGAAGGTGTGCCCAGTGCAGCGTGGTGGGCCTTTATCACACTCAGGCTGCTGCCTTCTTCCTTCTCGTTCTCCTGGCTGTGAGCCTATTGGGTAGTGCTGGCCACATCAGGGTGGATCTTCTCATTCACTGGCCTGCCCGCCAGTCATCCCTGGACAGGTCCAGACTCACCCACAAGTGTGCTTCAGTAGTGGCCAGGTGACCCTTAGTGTAGGCAAGTGGACATCATGATTTCCTGCTGCAGAGACAGAGGGAGAGATCCTGTGTCTCTCCTTTTTCATAAGGGACTGAACCCTCCTGGCTCCAGTCTCCTCCCAGAGGGGCTTCCACACTGTCATGGGGTTCGGAGTGTGGGTGTTTCGCATTCTAATTTCTCCCATGTTAATCACGCCTTGCACACTTCATCTCCTGCCTGCTTTCGTGGCGCTGTGCCATTCTACTCAGGGCAGTACCCTAGATTACTCAGGACCTTTGACCTTAAGATGCTGTTCAGCATTTTGCCACTATAAAACAACCTTCCTGTCACTGTCTTAGTATAATATTTGCCTGCCTGATTACTTCTGAAGGTGGATTCCTGGAACACACATGGCAGGCTCTGGTTTTACTGGCTTGTTAAGGCTTCCTCGTTGCCTTGAAAAATAAAAGTCGTGTCTCGATCCACAGCTGGTGTAGAAAGGAACTTGTGGCTCCTTACTAGGTGTGATCTGGGCCCGTGACCAGGTGGCTTCAGCCACCCAGGACTCCTGCTGGCTTCTGAGCACTTGTTGGGTTGGATCTTGCCTTAGTCACTTTTTAATGGTTGCTGAGACAAAATACCTGAAGCCCAAAGTTGGGAAAGGAAAGGTTTATTTCTTACAGTTTTTGGAGGTTTCAGTCCACACTCAGTTGGATCCAAGGCAGGCAGGCATGGCTGGGCCGCCGTCCTTGGAGGCTGCAAACAGCAAACAGGAACTGGCAAAGAGCAAGACACATCTTCTTCCTGCCATTACATCACATCCTGGCTCCACCCCTTTGTGGGTGGAGCACCGACACCATCAATTCAAGCACTAGACAGTGAACCAATCACAAATACACAGTGCAAACTCATGAGGCCTGGGGGACACAGACATAAACCATGACAGATCTGTACTGGAGGGGAGAGAGTAGACAGATGTCTCATAGCCATGGTGTTCTCCGCTTGGTAGTCTAATGGCGCACACGTGTGTGAGAGACTACGTCTTGCTGTGTAATCCAGGCTGGACTCAAACTCAAGGCGATCCTCCTGCCCCAGCCTCCCAAGTACTAGGATTACAGGCGTGTGCCAGCCATGCCTACCTTTTATGTGTTTAAGTGTATGTGCGGTGATGTGAAAACCTGTGCTCCCGTCCTCTGTGGTGGCTAAACAGCATTAGGATCTTGCCTACTTGGCGTGCCTAGTTCTCATAGAGAGCTGCCTTTTCTCCACTCCTGTAATGCAGGGTTCCGCTTTCTGGAAAGCTTGCGGCCCTGCGGCTGCTCTGGTTTGGGGTCCCCCCCTGCGAGCCTGCGGGGGTCGCAGAGGTCGGGGCAATGTTGTACCCTGGTGTGGGGGTGGAGACCTGTACCTGCCACTTGGTGACCTGAGCAGAGGTGGGAGGAGGACAGCGGGGTGCTCTGCCCTTCCCTCTCCGGGAGAAGTGGTGGGTGGGAAGTGGGGAGGTGGGGGTGGGGGGATGGGGGCTCCTTAGCATCTGCAGGGATCAGATGGCCCGGCGGGCAGCGTGCTGGCTCCCTCTGGACTGCACTGGGCCTGCGCAGTCGCACTCACCTCTCTGCTTTTCTGCAGCCACGAGGACTTCGAGTTCATCTCGGGCACGCGCATGCGCAGGCTGGCGCGCGAGGGCCAGAAGCCGCCCGAGGGCTTCATGGCGCCCACAGCCTGGGCGGTGCTGGCCGAGTACTACAAGGCGCTGGAGAAGGCGTGAGCGCGTGAAGACGCGGACCCGGGACCCGGGACCCAGGGGACCCCGCCACTCCCGGAGGCCGCCCGCTGCTTCTAACGTCGCTGTCCGCTCTGTGCTCACTGACCCTGCCAGCGGCTGGGCAGCCGCTTCTGTATCGTGTTCCTGCTTCTGTCTCCCGGTGTCTGCCGGCCGTCACCTTAGTGAGTGGTAGCCAGTAATACGGCCTCACTTTCTCCTCCCTTAAAGAAAATTGCTAAACAGTAACCGTGGCTAGACCTTGTCTTGGAAATTTTGCAAGACAGCTGTAGTGGTGAGATGTTTTTTCCTACCTTGAAAATGTTAACCGCTTCCTCTCTTTCTTGTTCACTGTTGATCTTTCTAGCAGTTACAAAATCTAAAACATTCTTGAGACGAGGGTAAGCTCTGAACAGACTTCTTTATTCAATAAAACTACATTTTTTGTCTTATTTATGTGGCATTTTTGTATTATTTTGCTTACACATAGCTTTTCTCTCCTTGGGAAGTAATTTCTGCTGGATGGGGTGGGGCACGCTTGTAGCTGAGCACTTGGAAGGCTGAAGGGGGACCTGGACTACATAGTGAAACCCTGTCTCACAAAACAAAATTTCTGCTAGATGAGGGAAAATGTAAGCATCTTGATTTACAGGATTTAGTAGTCAGCTCCTAACACTGTGTAACTTAGGGAGGTTTTGAGTAGCAGGAGTTTTTTTGTGGGGTGAGGTGGGGGGATCTTTTTGAGACAGGGTTTCATTATGCAGTTCAGGCTGGCCTTGAACTCACAGCCATCCTCCTGCCACAGCCTCCCAAGTGCTGGGACTACAGGCAATAGGAGTTATTTTAAATGGGAAAAATAATACAACACTCTTAAGTCCATCCAAAAATTTAACCACTTTGCCCAAATACGTCTCTAATATTCTTAAACATAATGATCCACCAGGGATTTAAAGTATGGGTGGGCATTGCTGCTTTAGTTAAGAAAATTGGTTTGTGTTGCAGGAACAACTTCTTATGGCCAGTGGCTTGGCCTAAAGACGGCTTTTTGGTCTTTTGTCATGCTCTCGGTGAGGGTTGATAGGTTCTGCTCACATTCACCATTCAGTGTGAGATCCTCCCACTTCATACTATATCAAGAGGTTTTGGGGAGAAAGAGTGTAAAATAAAATTATACACAATGCATCCCTATATCCCTAGCTGCTCAGGACACCGAGGCTGGGTTTCTTGAACCCAGGAGTTTTGAGGCCAGTGTAGGAAATACAGGGGGACCTCCTTTTTAACTCACGCGCAGGTTCTGAAGTGTGGCTTGGCGGTGACTTGGTCACCTGCTAGTTGATTGGGCAGAATGGCTCAGATAGCCCCTCACCTTGCAGGAGCTCAGGGGACAGACTTCCTGGGTACTGGAGGCAAACACCCCACCAGTTCAAGGTAAGTTTTACTGCCAAAAGCATTTCAAGGAGCAAAAATACAGGAAAAATGAATTTAAAAACTGTGTCTGTCAGGAAATAGCTTATTCCCCTAAAATGACATGTAGAGGACGTGGCCCGCCAGATGATTTTTTCAGGGAGGGTGGAGGGCTGCATGCCACAGTGGACCATGGGCACATTCAGGGTGGTGCAGGAAGACAAGGGGCTTTGAAGCCCTTGCCCTTAGGCCGTGATGATCACTAACTGGGGTGATGTCAGGCCAAGATTGAACAGGCTGTTGCTGGCCTGGGTCTTTGTGGAAGTACTTTTGGTACAGTTGTGGTCTTAGCAGTCGTTTTGTGTGAGTGTGTAGTCCCCCCCACCCCCCGAAGATGTCCCAACACCATTGTCTTTGGGTTTCACATCATTGATTCTGGAAATTTCCACAGTATTCTTTCAAGACTAAACCAAAATTCCTGTAAAATTGCGGATAAAGAAAATCCAATGTGTGATCGGAAGTAACTGCACTTTATCAGGTAATTGTCCTTTCTGAATCTCGCCCTGCTGTGTCCTGGCCTCAGCCCAGTAGAGCCAGGGTGAGGTGGGGTGGAGGTGTGGGTGGGTTTTCCATTCCCCAGGGATTAGCCACCCTCTGCATTATAGAAGGACCTAGCAGGAAACAAAAGCAGCTGCTGATTGCCACTAGTCCACAGGTTGGTTTGGATTTCCTTAATCTACAAATCGGATATATGTGGGAATTTTATGTTTCCTCCCCTTAGTTCATAAAAATGAACTCAAACCAGTCTTTAAAATTTCAACCCCTTTAACCCAAACCTCTCCTGCCGAGCGGTTGTGGAACTCTTAAAGTGCCTTTATCAGTCCATCAGTTGGAAAAGTGGATGGAAAGTAATTATGTTTTTTTAAAGGTGTGCAGTCATCTTGGCAGAAATGCAGTGTCTGAAATTCATCCATTCCCTATTCCACGTAGACCACATATTTTTATTTCGCTTCCGTCCAGGAGGAGGAGAAGCAATGACATTTATCTCTGGAAGTCAGCGTGCAAGCATTTTCTCGGGAAATTCACAAGTCTTTATTAGCACATGTGTCTGGGAGTGGGCTGGCTCGTAGAAGTATTTACCCACTGGCCTCTTAAGTATGGCCTGCAGGACTTGGAGGGCTGTAGCCCACTGATTTAATTTCTGCTAGATTCTCTTCCTAAGACACAGTCTTGTCCTGCCTAGATTTGTATATACACGTGTGTATGGTGTGCAAACTTGTGTGCCCACCTAACTTTCTGGACCGAGGTGAAATCCGCCTCCCTCAAGCCTTCAGGGACTGAGTTTGAACAGGGCATCTGGAGAGGAAGGCCTCCTGTGCCCACTAATGTTCCCACGTTCCCAAGGGAGGCACCCGAGTTAGGACCTGGCACCCAGGACTCCAGGAGAGGGGGGTTAGAACTGGGGCTGTGGAAAGAGCAGCAGCTGAGGCCAGGGACTCCTGGGGAGAGGGGTTTGGAGGGAGCAAGGGGGCCTGTGCTGCTCCGGGGGGAGGTTGCCTTCCATCCTCAGAGGAGAAGGAGCCCCAGCGGCCCCCTCCTGCACCCATGTGTTGAAGGCTGCTTTCTGCACTGTGGACTCTGATGCTGACAGAGTATGCTGGGGTGGTGGATTTCAGCGTGCAGGTCTAAGGTTGGTGTCCTTCAGCGACACAGCCGATCATGGAGCCAGCGCCTTTATGGGAAGAGCAGGAGGTTTTACGGAGAAGCAGGCTTGGGGTTGTATTAGAAACAGGGCTGGCAGCGGGCTGTGAAGCGGGGTGCATCCTGACGGAGGCACCGAGAGCAGGCAAAGCGACCTGGCCGCTGCCTGTCTGTTTCGCCTTGATAACAGTCACCTCTTTGTCACCAAGACCTGTGGCTGCTTCTGGACAGTGGCAGAGTTGAGTGGTTGAGACAGAGACTTTGTATGCCACAAAACCGAGCAAATTTATGTCTGGCTCTTTGCAGAGAACCTGCCAACCTCTCTAGGTCGGGAATTACTTCTGCAGCTAGGTGTCCGCACGCCAGAGTCCCATGGCTATTGGGACAGCAGGACCCCAGCAGGCTTGACACCTCCCTCAGCAGAGTCAGTGTGACAGTGACCGGTCTCCTACTGTCCAGGGCACTGCAGGTCTGTGACAGCTGGGTGTCCACATTCTTCAGTTTCACCCCTCAGCTCAATGCTGGCGTTGCTTAGGGCTGTGTGGATGGAACTGCACATGAATCAACCAGAGCTTTTTGCATCATGCTGATCCAGTCCTGTTAATGGGAACCAGCATTCTGTGATGATACTATTCTAAAATAAGTAGGATAAATTTGAGTCTTTCGTAGGAAAATGGATGCACTTTGAGATCATAATGCGAAGTGAAATAGGACACATGAGTTTAAATACTACCCAGTTTCCCCTTATTTGAGAAACTCAACTTATAAATAAAGAGCAAGATAAAAGCTACAAGCTGGAGAGATGAAAAATAGGAAGTGGAGAGAGAGATTTTTCTCAGGTGGGCAGGGGACCGAGAGTTGGAGGGGTGGGATGGGGGGGAGTGGAAGGGGATGCAGAGCCGAGAGGTGCTATGTACATCCCCAACTCTTCAAGGGTGCGATCAGTATGTACTGTGGGCGTAATGATAAAAATGCAGCTTAAATTTAAAAATATGATAGCTATGGTGAAAAGAATAAAAATATGTCCTAAGTTTCAGTACACAATGATTCCAGCTGTAGTTTTTGACTTGAATCATACCGTGATTGTCCAGGCAACGACAGGTGACAGAAGGTCCCCAGGGAAGCGTTGGGTTTCTCAGCAGGGACCTGGGGTGTGTGGTGCTCACGGCTGTCCTACGGATGACCAGGGTGGGCTCTGCCAGTGCCTGCCTTTGCATCTGCTGGCTGCCAGGTTTTAATTTGAATCCTATGCATCGTATGAACATTTCTCCCCGCATTTCATCTCCTTTTTCAAAAATGCAAAAGAAGAACATGAGGGTATCAATCTCTCAGGGATGTCACTGTACCACATAATAGCTGTCTGGGGTCTTAAACTTTTTATGTTTTTACTTTGGAACTAGAAGGAAGAGAATTTGTTCTTTTCATTCATATTTTTAATTAACTAACCATCTTATGCTCTTATGTTTCCTCTTCCTATTAGAAATAACCGAAAGAGAACAAAGAGCCTCAATAAAGAAAACTTCAGGATAACATAAAGACAAACTTGAAAACTTGGGTTTTTAAAAATGTAATGATTTTTTTTATCAGTGCAAGTTTGCAATACATAATGATTACATTGTGGGGAGTTACTCTATGCACAAAACACATCAATTTCTTTTTGTGTACATCAGATTTATTTATTTTTGAGTCTTTCTCAAATTAATTATCATAAACACAGATTAACAGCCAGACTAACAACAAAAACCGTAACACATAAAACAGTTATACTAAGTGTATTTTTGATGCATTGGCCAAACTGGATCACAATAACTTTTTTCTCTCTTTTTTTCTTATTTTTTATTTTGTACTTTATATGAGGAACCACATGTAAGCCCACGTATCTGAATTGTTTTGCTTAACATTAATGTCTCATGGAGTACCCATTTTCCCACAGAAGACTTATTTACCCTTATGTCAGAGTGCTACTCCGTTGTGTATAAAGGCCACATTCTCTCATCCACCGTCGATGGCCATATAGGCCGCTTGCAGGATTTAACTGCTAAGAGTTGTTTTGCTATAAACATGGGTATGCATGGGTCACTGTAACTCTTCTGGGAAGATATCTATACGGGGACAGAGATCTGTAGATGAGAAGACTGAATAGGGGCCTCCTTAGGTCTTCTAGCTAATCCCAACTAGGAGTAAAAAACAAACTTGACTAGAAAATTTCCACTGGGAAACAGGTCAAGGATGGGGTTAGAAAAAGAGAATGAAAAACCAGATAAAGAAAGGCACAAAGTAACCTTGGGACTTTCAAGGAGAGTCCAGTCTACAGAGCTGACAGGTAGGATACAGAAAGCCAGGTGCA